TCGCATCCATATTGAAGCAGCTTCATTATCTCTTTCTCTTTCGTTAATATAGTTTAATTTATAAATTAGTTATATTAATCCTTCCTTCCCAAGTAGCATTTGGACGTTATCTAACGTAGGGTATACGTCGCGTTCAATAAACCCGACGTCGGGTACCAACGTCGGTTCGACCGCCTGACGACCCTTATTTGCACCTAAATGGGGAATACAGATTCGGGTCGCCTCGACGTCGGTATCTGACCTAATAGGGAATGTAATTCTACCAATTACCAACATCATATTACGTTGGATTTTAGTCACTTAAAATTCGTCGCTAAGCACTTACGTTACGTTTGGTTTCATATTCGCTACCAAGAATACATAAAAACCTAACCAAACTACCTAATTACAAATGGATTCATGATCACTCCTCGAATATAACTATAAGTGCCTATCTAATTTCATATTATAATAATTCTGAATCATTAATCCAGACATCAGTTTTGTCAACGGAAGTCACTTTTTTGATATATCTGATTAAAATGCTCCGGAAAACAACGAGCGCCTTCAAAATTAGGTAGATTTATGAAATTAAAAATAGCTATAAAAAAGTTACTCGCAAAATATTTTTTTAATTTTCTAGCTGGTTTAATCATAAAACTGTACTGTCGTTCCTCCCAAACTCAACCTTATCAATATTATTCTACTAGAAATCGAAATGTGAATATAAATTTTAAAAACAAAAACGATTTTAAAATGGCTGACAATCGGATACGTGTTAAGAATGGCGGATTTCTGTGTCCGACTTAATATGAACTACCAATATACCAATTCCGATCGGGTCTCCAATATTAGTCGTCTCACACGACCGAAGTCATCAAAGCGGACGACCGGCAATCGTATTATGACGTATATAATTCCAACGTACGCCACGTAACCTCACTTTGCGTATCAGTGATTTGTGGATTTGTGCAACTATATTTTAGTTTTTGTTTTCTCCTTAAAAAAAATGGACAGCCACTTTTTTTAGCCTAACCTCACATGTGAGAGGAGGATGGGGTCTGCTGGTTTCCTAAGCTAAAAAATGAAATTAAGATGCACCAGTGTAATGCGAGATGCTGCATTCTGATAAAAAGCATTTATGGGTGGAGACAAGACATCACTACTACTATTATTATTTTGCAAAAGCCTCGACCTCTTTCTGTAAAATGTAGATGAATGTCTAAATGCCTTTTTAGTGTTTTTTTAGGCATAATAAAAAAAATTAAGTTTTTTTACAAAAACTTTTTATTAGGTTATGTTCATGATGTTTATTAGGCCGCAAATGCTACTTAGTGGGTTGTATTTACGGACGTAAATAGAGATACGTAAATTAGGTTATAAATATGAACATACCATACAACAAAATATAATTGGACGTTACTTTAGGGATTATCAGTGAGACGTATCCTATTCGGACAACGGGTAGACGTCGGGCTAGTTCGGAAATTAATAAAAATTGTACGTTGTTATTTTGTACGTCGACAGATCGTTGGATTTACCCACTCGGATCCAACGACGTCGCTTTTAATAGGAAAGCGACGTCACCGGTCGTATCACCAGCACCTGACCTAAATTTGCACAAAGTCTGACGTCGCTTCAGGTCAGATTCCTTCCTTCCTTAATACCTTTTCGTTCGATGAAAACCGTTTTCCACGCATCAATTTTTTGAGATGTGAGAACAGCCAGAAATCAGAGGGAGCCAAATCTGGCGAATAAGCTGGATGTTGCAACAGTTCGTACTTTAATTCACTGATTTTCTTAATTGTTTTTTGAGCTGTGTGGGAGGGTGCGTTATTTTGATGAAAAATTATTTTCTTCTTCTGTAAACCACGTCTTTTCTCGCAAATTTTTACATCCAGCTGGTCTAAAAGGTTACAATAATATTCAGCATTTATTTTTTGACCAGTTTGGAGGTAATCCATAAACAAAATTTCCTTCACATCCCAAAACATTGTTAATAACACCTTGACCGATTTCTGTACCCTAACTCGCTTTGGAGCTGTAGTACCGGGCTCACACCACTCTTTGGCTTCTTGTTTCGATGCAGAATCATGGTGGTAGACCCAAGTCTCATCAACAGTAATAAAAACCAAACTAAATATTGTTGAGAAAGTCGCACACGAGTGTATTATTGATCCGCTGTTAGGGATGCGGCACCAATTTTGCATACAATTTTCTGTATCCCAAAACTTTTAGACAAAATATGGCTGACACTTAATGAGATGCCTAGGACATCTACTAAATTCCTTTCGGTTAAGCGAAAGTCTGCCATTATCAAAACCTGTATTTTTTCTACGTTTTCTGGCGTTGAAGTACTTTTTGAATGTCCTTCACGTGGTTCGTCTTCGAGACTGGTATGGCCTCTTTGAAACTCAACAGCCCATCTTTATACTTTTCGGATTGAAGGTGAAGAGTCCTTATATATTTTTAACAATCTTGCGTGAATTTGTTTTGGTGCTACAAAAATAAGAATTTTATCACTGCACGATATTCAAGTTTTTCCATTGTACAAAAATTCTGTGACACATCAACTTTGAACTACTGCAAATATACGATCCAGTTGACAGATCTACATGAAACTTCGCATGTGTTTATGACCCAGTAGTACCACTTTAAGAAAAATAAAATAACGAACCTCAACGCCATCTCGTATTGAACGACAAATCTTATTGAACAGTCTCAAAGTTGTACATTCTTAGTATTTGTAAGGAGTAGTTTAAAATAAAAATAACCATAAACATTTAAAAATACTAAATAAAACGTAAATAAAGTTGTTATATTTATACCTAGTATCGAACATTTTAAAATATCGATTTTCTACCATCCTCTCTATTAGATCGCAACCCTGTGATACTGAGCAGCGCTTTTAATACGCAATTAATAACGAGTATCACGTTTTTCCATGCTAATTAGCGTAATTAAGGATCGTAGACTGAAAATTTCAGAAGTTTTAATTAATTAGACTCGGCGCGATGGAGATCGGTAAACAAAAACGGTTTCATATATATTTATTTTCAAACAAAACAATATTTTTAATTAATTCAAGTACGTACATAATTTCATCAACTCTGTAATCTTTGTTTGTAGAGTTTCTGCGTATTAATTTTTAGTTTTAACATAAATAGTCAAAACATATACAGGGGTTTTTAAAAATCATGTGCCTCTCTCGTGGGGAGATTCCTCACGTAAAAATAAGACTTATTTTTTATATCAACATAGGTCCGACTCTTCTTTGTTTCGAAGCTACAAGGGTTTAAAGTCTTAATTTTTTTCGATTAGAGCTTTTAGTTATTCGAATGAAATTAAAAGGGTAAAAGTGGTTATATATTGACATAAGATTGATAGCGAATCTGTATTGGGGACAGGCCGCTAAGATCAAATTAGATGATGATTTTTCAGAGGTGTGTGTCAGGGATGCATCTTGTCTCCCCTCCTTTCCGATATACATAAATAGTGAGACCATCTTTCAAGAAGTTTTGAAAGAGGGAGATGAGGAAATCAAAGTGAATGGTCAACGAATCAACAATATCAGATAAGCTGACGATGCAGTAGTAATGACAGACAAAAGTAAAGATCTGCAGAACCTACGTCAAAGCACTGCAAATAATATGGGCTGAATATGAATTTGAAGAAAACGAAATTCATGATTATAACGATAGACCAAAATGTAAATACTTCAATATCAATAGACAGCACGCAAATAGAAAAAGTCCAACACCGCAAATACTTGGGCACAATAATAAATGAAACTTCCGAACAATTGCAAGAAACAATTACGAGGAAATTATACGAGGTCCTAAATACCAATTTCTCCAGAATATTATGGAAGGAAAAATCCAAGGACATCGAATGGATTATTTAGAGCAGGCGCAAATAAAATAAAAATAGCCATAATGATAGACAAACTCCGTTAAGAGTAAGAGATGGTACTTGAAGAAGACTCTAAATTAAAAATTATAAAAAATAAAAATATTTATCAAACAAATATTGTTACTTTCTTTAAAGTTTCATTTGCATTAAATTACTTGAAAACTATTTATTTAAATATGTAGAAAGTGCCTCTAGTAGTCTATTAATAAAACAGTGCAAGACTTGCAAAACCTAGACTGGACCCTGCAAGACGAAGACTACTTATTAGACTGCAAGACCAAGGTAGTCAACCGTCAACCCAACTGTATTTTTTTATTTTTAATTTAACGAACTACTATGATCATTACAGGGTGTTCCTTAACGACATGCTAATATTTAAGGGGGTGATTTTTGGACCTATTATAAGAAAAAAACTTCATACGAATGTATGTCCCAAACATCTTAACTTTTGAGCTACAAAGTGGTAAAATTTTCTGAAAAATAACTGGTTTTTCATAATAATTCTGACATTATTATCGTTGTCTTGATGAAATTTGATACACGTTTTCTATGCAACAAAAATGGTATGCAACTGGCTTGTTTTAAAATAACATTATTTTCAAAATCGTCGTTCGTTTCCAAACAATTTGTACCTCTTGACTTTTTTTCGTCTGAGGCATGGTTTTTGCATAAAAAATTAAAGTGATTTTACTTCAGGATGAATTCGCTAAAAATCTGATACGATGATTGGTAGAAATTGTTTCTGCATCGGCTGGAAGGAAATTTAGAGATACAACAAAATATTTTGTCGTATATAAAAAAATGTATTTTAATGCATAGAAGACCTGTGTATCAAATGTCATAAAAATTCCTATAATAACATCAGAATAAAAGATTTTCTGTTTATATCTGGTTGGCATATCTTCAAAAACTTTTGTTTTGTACAATTGAGTTTGTCATTTATATTATTTGTCAAAGGGCAGGAACTCTCTTCATTAAAACTTGAAGAATGTCGGAAAAAATCAAAATCCTGTTAAAACAACAACTTTTTTTATTTATATATCCGATATAAGATATACTTAATCTCATTAAAAAACGCTCAAAATTAACAATTATTGCAATAATCTCACCGAAAATTTTGGACCACTGCGCCGCAGGCCTCCAATCCGGATAGTGCTTAGGAAAGCTCTCCCTGCTCCAAAACGTGTGCAACACCACCCTGTACACCGTCAATTTTTCCGGCTGGCAAGGCTCACCCCCCGCAGCAACAGTCCCACCACCACTCTGCAGGTCTCCCACCACGAGACACCAACACAAAAGCATCTTAAGCGCGACGACGGCACCAAACATCCCCGAAGAAGTCATATTCCTGCTCTTCGGCAGCGTATTTACGAAAATGACGATAATCAGAGCCCGACGACGATTGCCGATGGGTGACGAACGGCGGCACGACTTGAGCCGATCGCGGCTGAACACGGTCTGAGGCTGAGCGCTGAGCGAGCCAGCTGAATGGGCGGCTGGCGGAAGTTGGAAGTAGTAGACGGGAGAGACTGGGGATTTCGGTGGAGTGTGGAGCGCCGAGAGTGGGGAAGGGTTGGGGGATATGGAGGGACGATGGTGAATTGGACCGGTTGGTGCGTATAGAGCGCAGAGATAGTTCAAGCTGGTGTGTGGTTAAAATCAACGTATAAGAAGACTAAGAAATCAGTTGTAAGCCCCGCCTAAACATAATTTTGTGCTTGTGATAGGTTAAGTAGATTAGCTCAAAGCTTTCGCCACAAGAAGGAAATTTTGTTTTATTGATGTACTGTCATTTCCTTAATAATTAGGTCTTAATAAAATTGTCTAAAATATATTATAATGGAATTAGGGACAAGTTTTAAAATAGCCAAAATTTGTTTTTTTTTTTCGAAATATCTAGTAAGCGATAAACTTTTTCAAAAATCCGAATGGCGTATATTTATGACCCCACAAAACTGCAATTCTTTCCCCATTAACCGACGCTCTATTTCCAGTAGTTTCCGAGATACCCATAGAGAACATCGTAGGAAACTCACCCTGTATAGTATTTTGAAACTAACTATTATTATTATTTGACTAGTTTAATTTGATTAATAAAACTAGATTAATTTAATTTCAAATAAATTTAATCAGATTTTTTTTCGTATATTCTGCTACCAGAAAACCAAGATTATATGATAACGCACTTTTCAACGAAGTTGAAGGAAGAGATATAGTGTATCTATCACAATACTTAATAGAACTACTACAATTAAAAGAAAAACAAAAAAAAACAAATACCCAAATACTCAATACAAAATAAACGAATATAATCTCTTAAAAACACTACACAACTACTTATTCTTGTATTCTACACTGAACAAATTATCAATTTGATCACTAATTTATCAAACAAAAAGAAAAAATAACAAAATTATCCCTTCACCTACTACTTAACTACAAAATAAACTATAAAAACACTACTAAACTATTTTTGGTAGACTACACTAACATGCTACACTAAACACTATAATTAAACTTAATAAATTAATTTAATTTTACACTACAACTGCAAAGAAAAAAGAAATAAGAACATTTTCTAAAACTAGAAGAAACAGAACTTACATACGTGCGACCAGGATAATAGGTCAAGGGGACAAAGAATATAAAATACTTTAAAATGTGCATTCAGAAAGAAAAAATACCTCGAAAATTACCTAAACAAACATTTTTATTTCTTATCAGTGAGAAACATCGGCCTCGTCGGCGTTGAAGAATTTGTCGGGTATTTACAATGGTCGAATTGTATAATTGCCAGCTTTTATAGCATATCTAATAGAGAAAAAGTATCTGGTCGATTAGTAACCAATTGGCACAGTCCGAAAATTATCGATTTTTATTTTCTCTGTTTTTATTGGTAGCTTCAAAATTCAGAGTAACAAAAAAATATTTCTGTAGGGAAACCGGTCCTGCCATCTAGTAGTCTTAGTCCATAAACGTCTTAGGTTGATCTACTTTAAAATATATATATATATATATATATATATATATATATATATATATATATATATATATATATATATATATATATATATATATATATATATATATATATATATATATATATATATATATATATATATATATATATATATATATATACTATATACAAGATTAATAGTTAAAAAACATAGACATTCACAAGAAAGAAAACCCAGAAAAGATTCAGCGGTTCTCAAAATGTAAGCGAAAAATCATTTTTTTCTTAAATTTTCATACTAAAATATCTCGGTTATTTTGGACTTATTTGAAAAACGGCAAAAAGAGAAATTTGAAGTAAGAAATTAAGTATTAAATAAGTGCAAATATACTCAACCTGTGGAATAGCATTAGAACAAGGGGATTGTTTAAATGATAATTTAAACAATCCCCCTGTTCCAAATATTGGCGGAGTTAGTGATGGGTTGTTATTTAATTATCTGTTATTTTATAACAATTATTTATAAATAACATAACGCAACCGTTACTACTTTTCAAAAATAACAGATATAAAATAACGACACGTAGAGATTGGCCGCTCGTGAAACGAAAAACGAAGTCGGCGCTCTGCACCGCCACGAAATTCTATGCTGCTCGAAGCAATTCCAAAAAATAACTAGTATGGATGGAAAACATGTTATTTCGTCAACCATCGATACAGGCGGCGAGACAACGGACAACGGAGTGGGGAATGCGCTACGGCGAACGTAGCTGCTTCGGTCGATGCCGTCGATGGTCGTATTGGGTTTGCAACAGCTTAAAAATAATAGGATATAAAAGAAGCAGGTTTTTTTGAAACAGTTGCGGGCATAACGCCTGGCGGTCGAGATAACAGGAGTGGGAAAGGAACGCTGCTGCATCGGTCGATTGTCGATGGAGGCTCGCAACGGGTTGGAGAAGCAGTCATTTTAGATACGTTGTTTTTCAACCTGTTACGAGCATAACAGGGCGGCGGTCGAGATAATCGGAGTGGGAAAGGAACACTGCTGCATGTCGATTGTCGATGGAGGTTCGAAACAGGTTGGAGAATAACGCATCAGTTGTTTTAGATACATTTTGTTTCAACCTGTTACGAGCATAACGGGCGGAGGTTGAGATATTATGGCGCTGTATGTTTCAGTATTTACTTATTAAGTTTCAATATTTAGGTATTTATTTATTCTGAAAAATTTTCAGAATAATATTTTAACATTTTTTAAAAATGTATACAGGGTGTTTTGAAAAATCTGGTCATTGATGAATCACGATCCTGCTTAAAGCCCTTGACGTAAAAAGCTGATTTTTGGAAAACGGATTGACTTTAGTGTGTAGAGGTTCGATAAGAAGGGATTTTTCGAAACTCAATTTCTAAGGGAGTGAAACTACTCCCAAATCTTAGAATATTTTTTATTTAAAAACCGGTGAGTTTTTCGGAAAAACTCCTAAAACACGTATATTTTATTATGTTATTTTACATATTTTAAGATTTTTTAAAAATATATACAGGGTGTTTCATAAAATATGACCATTGAGTAATCACTATTCTGCTTAAACTACTTGACGTTTAAAGCTGATTTTTGGCAAACGGATTGACTGTGGGGTTGAGGTTCGATAAGGAGGGGTTTCTCGAATCTGAAATTCCAACAGGGTGAAAACGTGCCTCAAATATTACAATATTTGTTATTTAAAAACGGTTAGTCTTTCGGGAAAACGCCTGGACACGCATAATTTATTTTGTTTTTTTTACATATTTTGAAATTTTTAAAAAATCATACAGGGTGTTCCAAAAGTTGAGTAATTGATTAATGACGATTCTGCTTAAACTACTTGACGTTAGAAAGCTTATTTTTGGCAAATGTGAGAAAATTTTATCCAGTTTGTATGTTAATAGAAATTCTTGTTTTGCTTTATCATCACCATTAGAAATTATTAATTCGACACGAACGAAGTCGCGGGTACACGCTAGTTTTAGTGTAAAATTAATTCGAACTCTAGTGTGTAGTTGGTTTACTTATGAAGAATATACTACACATTTTCTTATATTGCTATTTTTTGACCGTAAATGGTAATTGTATAACTAAGAGCTTCTCGCCCGTCGAGTGAGATGCACCTTGTACACTGCTACGCAATTCAGGATCTACGCGGATCAAGGGGCAGGGCGTAGGTAGATCGGAATGTATAGGTATAGACGAGGGCGGAATTTTGGCTTTTTTTATATCGCAATTTGTAAACAGCGCTTATTTGTAAACAACCATCGTTTTAGAGAGGTATTTTAGATAAGAATCGATATTTAGAAATGTTTTGACACCCTGGAAATACTACCACCGGGCACGTCATTGTTGCAACTTGCAACTGCGTTAATACGCCTGGCGGGGGCTGTCTCATACTCTTTCAGATATTTAGCAGTAAAATAAAGAAACCTGTTATTTTTAAGCTGTTATTTTAAGCTGTTTTTTATAAATAACTATAACAGTTTCAACTGTTATCTAAAAATAACAGTTTCAACTGTTATCTAAAAATAACAGTTTTGCCCATCACTAGGCGGAGTTGACTCTCATCCCTCCGTCTTCTCTATCTCGTTCCTGTTGCCACTATTGGCAATATCTAAAACTGACGGGGAGCTTCGGCCAGAAAAAAAAACGCGAAATATACCGTCTTTGCCGACAGATATCGGCACGTAAAAACTGCCAATATGCAGGTGCATCCGATATCTTAATCTCCTCGACGGAATAAGACCCGGCAGACAGTGGAGATATGAAAAAATAATATCGGCAAAATGGAAAGACGTTTAGGAGAATAATCGAAAATGTGAACTGGAAAAGTCTCTCCGATATATTTCTGGATATTTCTCTACAGTATATACAGGGTATTTTAAAAAACATGTGCCATCTGTCGTGAGCAAATTTCTCACGTAAAAATAAGATTTATTTTTCATATCATCATAGGTCCGATTCTGCTTTGTTTCGTAGCTACAGGGTGTTAAAGTCTTAATATTTTTTTTTGATTTATTATAATTTTGTTTCAAGTACTTTTAGCGTTTCGAATGAAATTTTGAGGGTAAAAGTTACTATAAATGCGAAATATTTTAAAGCTAAGAAAGTGTCGACATATTCACCAGGGACGTGCATATGGGTTAATTATCACTGGAATATTTGTCTAAAAAAGCATGTACGCCACTGATTTTTTTTCTCTTGTTTGCAAAATAGTGTAAGCAATTTAATGTCGATTAAAAGTTGTCTCTTGATATTTTGTCAATTTCGGCCTCCTTGGTGAGATAAACGCAATGTTATTAATTTGCGTTGATCCAAGTCAATAGCAACACTTAAAAAAATTGAATATCATTAACTTGGGAAAGTTTTAAATAACTACCTATAGATTCTTCATCAAAAATATTGAAAAAAAAGTTCCTATAAACATGGGTATGGAAATGCATAGTTTTAGAGTTACAGGATGTTAAAACTTTTTAAAATTAGGTAGGTTTTTTGTAATTAT